ATGAATCATATATAATAAATGAAAAAGTACAACCTCTGCAATTGAATATTCGGAACCTGCCTATTTTTTGTGCTTTGATGGGTGGACGAGCTCACAACCCACCTGGTGTTAAGTGGATACTCGAGCACATAGACATCTACAACGTAAATGCCGCCACCCACCTTGAGATTTAAGTTCTAAGGTCTCAGTATAGTTGTGAAGGCTGCCCCACCCTTCAAACCGAAACGCATTACTGCTTCACGGCAGAAATAGGCAGAGCAGTGGTACCTACCCGTGCGGACTCACAAGAGGTCCCATCACCAGTAATAAGTAGTAACTGGTCCTAGCATCAGTATTTGCAAGCTAACATAGGAAATATCGTTAGCGCGATTCAGACCCTCAGACACAGCCCACTAAGTTTCTCGCCGGATCTTCTCAGTGGGTCGCGTTTCCGATCCGGTGGTAGATTCTGCGAAGCACCGCTCTTGCTAGGGTTCGTGATAGCAACGTCATCAGGTTTGAGCCCCGTGAGCTCACCTACTAGTTAAGGTGACGCTGATATAGCCTCTCAAGGCTATCAGCTTAGGTAGGAAAAAAATAGCGATTCAGACTATCGTACTAATTTTATTGTTCACCGCTGAAGTAGCGGTGGCATTAAAGTTTCCATGCTATGGCAATGGCCTTCAGCTGAACAATTGGTGGAAAGTGAGTTCGAATAAGATACTTTAACGGAAAGCTTAAAGCTTAAAACATTAAACAGTCTATTCTATACCGAATGAGGAATTTGCTGGATACGCTTCAGTTGCTATTACTTGCTTCTTAGCGAAACGAAGGGAGAAAGCCCTTGGGATAACAACACAAAATAATACTATTAGCAATGATTTTTTATACAACAGATATTATGTTATCTTCATAGTAACTGACTCTTCAAATCTGATCGCGCCATATATATCTATATATCTACCGATATAGTGCACACACATGTTGACAAGTAGCATTAATGAAAAGTACAAAAGATGGGATAAGCGCGTGAGTAAAAAAGATAGCTATAATTGGAACGATTGCACTTGTTATATTATTATTGCATTTGTTTAGACGCGACTAAAGACGAAACGTCCCAATTGGCCTGTTTTCGAGTCTCCACTTGACGTGCGCTTGAAACATAATATCTGCTTCTTTTTACATATAAAATATCATTGACTATTAGCAAACCACGTATATTTAAAGACAAATCGTTCGATTTAAATTATGGAAATGACTATCAGATAGCGACGGCATTAAAAGTGAAATTACGCAACACACAGCTTTTACTTACACTTGAGGCCAACGCGGAGTGGATAATTGTTTGAATTAATCGTCCGTTGCTTTGCGGAAACGTTTTTTTTTAACGCACACATTGTATTATAACTGCGGTTTCTTGTAAATGTGACGACAATTTAATTTATTATGTTACGTAAATTTTATTGGAGTGTTTTGTTGCAGTTTGTGTTCTAACAAAAAAAAAAGAAGTGTGGTGTCGTGGGACACCGGATAGGAACGGAGTCCCTTATCATAAAAATATTAATTTTAAATTCTATTCGAGGTATAAAGAAAATAAAACTAGAGGTTTCGCAACAAACCACGGTCAATCGGTAGCGTGCGAACTTATTGTGGTACACTTCATTCACGGTTGTTTGCATAAGAGTTAGTGTATTGCGCAAACGAACGCTCTGAGATCGTGGTCAATGAATGATAAAAATATGTTATTTTTTGTAAGTTATTACAAAGTTAAGTCGTACTCTATGTGCATTACTAATTTGTACGTTATTACAAAGTTAAGTCGTATACTGTGTGCATTATTAATAAAAATCTTACGTTACGGACGCTTTTTCCCGGTTAGGGTACCCCTCCGCATCGTCCCATAAGGAACTTCGTTCCGAATATACATTTATAACCCATTGATATATACGAAGAGAGTCCTCAACCATAGGCAGGGGCTTGCCCGTGCTTCAAGCATAGCTAATATCCGTAAGCGACGGGACTACTTACCATCAAATGGGCTGTATACTAGTCTAACTGCAGGCAATAAAAAAATTGTGCGTCTGAAAATGTTAAATTGCTTGAGAAAAGCTAAGGTTATTACTAAATTTTATGTATATTAATATGGTAATGTAATGAAAATTGTACCGCTGCCATATGCATGAGAGAAAGAGATGCCAAACAGACTGGCGCCGTAACGCGTTGCGTAACGCAGCGTCTTACCCTCACATAAGAAGTTATCACTTCAGTAACCGAAAATCGAACAGTATTTAAAATGCATTTTTACGCATATTAATCAAAATTTCCGTTTGATTTTCCTTCGAAGAATAAAACTCCGAAATACAATTTGCTGCATAATTGTATGGCAAAAGAAAAAACAGAATAGCAGCGCTATCTCATATTGTCTCCATAGTATTCGTTATGGATGAAAATCTCAATTTACCAATAATTTATAACAACTAAAAATACATTAAAACTTGTGTAAATAATACTCAGTAGTTTTATAACAAACCTGTAAAAAAAACTATAAGCTTGCTACCAGTTTTGGTTATGTATTAAACCAATTATTTTGGTAGGACGTGTAATTATATGGAAACTCGTTCATCGAAGGTCCGTACTGCACGCTAAGGTTTCGTAACAACAACAATTACAACCAGAAATCTAAAATCCAGTCTGATCACTTTACAAACTGTTAATAATTTTAAACTTTAAAATTACGGGTGGGCGAGCAAAAGCTCAGCCAGGAGGGGTGGGATTAACAGCTGCCCGAGCGCCTTCGAAGGAGACCTAACAACTCAAGAGCAGCTGTTTCGCGAATGAATGTACTACCGAATCGGAATCGCGACCCGTTGAGAAGATTCGTCTTGATTCGTGTTGATGCATGGGTTAGGCTGCACATCAATCTCTTTGCCGAATCCGACGAGTACGGTTACCGTTTTTTTTTAATTGCTTTGGTTGGTAGACGAGGTCACAACCCACCTGGTGTTAAGTGGTTACTGGAGCCCATAGACATCTACAACATAAATGCGCCACCCACCTAAAGATATAAGTTCTAAGGTCTCAAGTACAGTTACAACGGCTGCCCCACCCTTCAAAACAAAACGCATTACTGCATTACGGGTAGTGCGAAGTATCTTAATATATATTTCTTTTCATTTCCATAGTCTTATCATGTCAGATATCATGCGTACAATGTCAAGGAATTCCACACATACCTCCGTTTACAAATACAATTTTTATAAATAAACTAGCTGACCCGGCAGACTTCGTAGTGCCTCAATCGATAAATAAAAGACCTAAACTTTTGTATAAAACAAACAAAAGGAATCCGTCCGACGGGGGACACATCAAAGGAAAAACAAAATTGTTATTTTTATTGAATTCCTAGAATTTTCATATTTATCTNCAAGGAATTCCACACATACCTCCGTTTACAAATACAATTTTTATAAATAAACTAGCTGACCCGGCAGACTTCGTAGTGCCTCAATCGATAAATAAAAGACCTAAACTTTTGTATAAAACAAACAAAAGGAATCCGTCCGACGGGGGACACATCAAAGGAAAAACAAAATTGTTATTTTTATTGAATTCCTAGAATTTTCATATTTATCTACCTTTTAAACCTTCTCTGGACTTCCACAAATAATTCAAGACCAAAATTAGCCAAATCGGTCTAGCCGTTCTAGAGTTTTAGTGAGACTAACGAACAGCAATTCATTTTTATATATATAGACAAATATACAACATTACAAATAAATCACTTAACAAATAATTAAATTTCCAACATATCTTACGCAACAAAAGTACGACGAGCTACAAAGACCAGACCAGCAATCTACAAGGTTTTGCAATAAACCGTATCGATTGTCGGCAAGTGGGCTCTTGTTAAACATGATATTTCGTAAAGAAACCCTTCGCGGAACTCCGACGATCCAGAGCCCTAAATATTTCTGAAACTTTAAATCCGACCTCCGCTTTGTTGTTCCGATAGCAAACCGACGAATTATTAGCGGATATTTTTTAAATAATCTAACCGACCTTAAAAACTGAGGAGCTTCTGAATTCGATTGAATTTTTTGTAATTTAATTACGAATCGAAGTCTAATCTCCAACAAAAGCTCTTTTCTGTATGCAAGTACTTTTCAATTAGATCACATGATAAAAAAGTTTTAAATTGTTTATATTTTTATTCTTCTAGTAGTGTAACAATGTTAGCGAAGCTCATAGTGCGTATATCCCTGAGTTTCGATTATATCACAACTATAATTATCCTATATAACACTTATATGTTAAAAAAAATTATTAAAAAATCCGATGATTTCCGGAAAAAACCAACACACGGTCACACAATGTAGCCAACGAACCGTATGACTGAAAGTGTTTTGTTATCAAACGATCGCAATTAACGTAATATTGTAATGCCTTTTGTTATTTAATATTACGTTACATGTTTTATTATGTTTAATTTTGGCTTATTACCTGTAAAATATGTTGTTACAAATCTTTTAACAGTTATATATATATGAGTTTGAAAAAAAGACTTTCTTTTTTGGTATCAATAATTTTATATCAAAGCCGCTGATCACCTTGTAATGTCAGTCCCAAAACTAACATCTAAGCTGAAGTATTTAGCAGCCAGTAACCTCACAGCAAGAAATTTAATTCGAATATACGTTATCCCTTCATTCACCACCAGTATATTAGACTTGGAGACTTAGAGTATTAATAATAAAGTTTCATATTCATATAAGCTAGGTTATTCGCCTTTCTTATGGGTGCCGAAATATATACCAAGACAAGCCTAAGCCCTAATAACCAATACCTAGCCCGGACCCCAGTAAAATTGTTAGGGCAACTACATCAACAATCTCAAACATTCCCCCGCAACTTGAGTAATCGCCGGTACCAGCGTCTACCGAGAGGGGATCGACCATTCACTTCGCTTAACCACCGAGTCACAGTGTAGCTTTGCATCGTGTGAACAATTGTACGCTAGCAACATGTGCGGTGAAATGGGTAAGGCTGTCTTGAGGGCGTTGACTGGCGCGCTACTCTGCGGAGTTGTTTCTGACGCGGCCTATTTACAAGTGAGTCTATTTGATGTTTATTGAGCACGCTGCTAAGATTACTGGTGGTAGGACGTCTTGTGAGTCCGCACGGGTAGGTACCACCACCCTGCCTATTTATGCCGTGAAGCAGTAATGCGTTTCGGTTTGATGGGCGGTGCAGCCGTTGTACTGTTAAAAATAAGATCTTACAGTTCTTGTCTCAAGGTGGGTGGCGCATTTGCATTGTAGATGTATATGGGCTCCGGTAACTACTTAAGATCGGGTGGACCGTGAGCTCGTCCACCCAATCAAGCAAAAAAAAAAGAAAAAAACGCGCATGGAAAATATCATCCTGCTTATTTCTGCCGTAAATAAATACAATTGATTCTTCGACATCATTGTGAGTAGCGGAATTCACATTAATATCACGTGGACTGGATTCTAGTATAGCCGATCAAATGAAAAAAAAACCACGCAACCACTGCAACTAGAGTAAGCTCTTATTTTAAATCACAATCGCAGAAAGCAAGTCTTTTTTATTGCCTTCAGCGACCTTAGAGTCCGTGTGAAGGTCAAGAGGTGGCCTAACTTACTACAATACTGTTAGTATATTGTAAATTATACCATTATACTAATAATAATATTATGTAACTATACTGAGATCTTAGAACTTATATCTCAAGGTGGGTGGCGCATTTACGTTGTAGATGTCCATGGGCTCCAGTAACCACTTAACACCAGGTGGGCTGTGAGCTTGTCCAACCATCTAAGCAAAAAAAAAATATCTTATTATAAATATACTTACTACGGCCTTATAATAAGTACTATTACTTTCTTGTAATAAATTAAAAGAGTAGAACTAAACAATTACAAACACACAAAATAATTTCTAAGCTATTTACGTAATTCCCGAAAGTTAACATACAAATAAAGTTAGTAATAGTATTTAACAACTACATAACGGGAAGCTGTGGAAGCGTAATAATTTTAAAAGTTTTCAAATAACAAAACATATTTCACTGAAGGGACGAAGTTAACTTTCAAAATTGCGTTTAAAATTGTTAAAAGCGGCCGCCATGGACGGGGAAATTAGAATAGGGCCATGTAAAGTTTTAGGTCCTAAGTTTGCCCATACATCTTGTTGTGTTTTTAAGGATAAAGAAATCGTGGTTATTGTTCATATTTTGGCATATAAGTACTTGCTCAAAGTATGAACAATACAAAAACTTCTGACCTTTGGGGGAGTACTAAAAAAAAAATGAGGAAACTATTAATCAAACGAAACAATATGTAACAATAATTTTTTTATTTTTTTATTGCTTAGATGGGTGGACGAGCTCACAGCCCACCGGGTGTTAAGTGGTTACTGGAGCCCATAGACATCTACAACGTAAATGCGCCACCCACCCTGAGATATAAGTTCTAAGGGTCTCAGTATAGTTACAACGGCTGCCCCACCCTTCAAATCGAAACGCATTACTGCTTCACGGCAGAAATAGGCGGGGTGGTGGTACCTACCCGTGCGGACTCACAAGAGGTCCTACCACCAGTAAACTCACAAGAGGTCCTACCACCAGTAAAACAATAAATAAATAAATAAAATTATCTATTGCTTTTCACACAGGAAACACTAACAGATCTATATAGATATATAAAAATCTAAGATACATATTATTATTATAGAATACAACAATCCACTTTTAAACATCAAGCTGTAGTTTAATTATCACATGTATAAAAGCTATGGTACTTTTCGAAGGACATAGCATGATGCTTCGAAGCACAAACTTAGAATCTAGAATAAGGGTAATAGTGTCATTAATTTGGTGACTAAGCCTGTTCTAAGTCTGTGTGGGTTGGTCTGTGCACCATCTATTCCATCCCACCTATTTTTGGTTCCTATCCAAAAAGGATTGGAAAGAAAATTGGTCACTACTACGTTCAGCTCAAAGACATCCTCAATAGGTCAAAGGTAATAAATAATTTTATTATTCTGGACAAGGCACAAGGGAAAGATCACTAGGATATGAAGTGTGGGTTTTCAATGCAAATATGACTTCAAATACCAAATGCATTAAAGTGGCCATCAACTTTCTGATTGTAGTATAATAGTGTATTATTTGTGTTCCGGTAGCTGCTTTAAATGAGGAAGCAAACAATTTTGCCAATTTTAAAAAAGAAACTCCTATTATCTTCGGGCAAAGTAATAAATGTTTCAAGAATCCCCTACCCGAATTCAACAACGGATATCTTAATCAAAGTTGCGGTCACATCGTTCACCGGACCTCGTTCTTATCACCATTAAACGGCAGTAAATCCTGAGGCCATTCCACTATGACAATAAAACCGCGTCCACTCGCCCAAATATATCAACGAGCAATAACTCGTCTCATAAGGGAACACTAACTTTTGCAATTTACTCTCTCACTGTTTCCCTCGAGGGATCTTCAAAGGGGAATTATCTCTGACTAAATTCGCTCCCGTTTATTTTGGACGCGGGATCTTCTGTTTTTTAGTTTCGTTTCTTTGATCAAAGCTTTCAAAGTGGAAATTGTTTGAAAGTTCGTTTCTCAAACAAATTTGTATTCTATAGTAATTTCGCAAATTTACACCTCGTCGATTTTCGCGCACAAAATTTTTCATTTAACGCTTAGTTAAGGTCTTTGAGGAGGAAATGTGGCGGTTTTAATGGAGGAAGTCATGGCGAGATATTATTAAGGAATGAGAACTGTCGCCGTAATTATGCTCGTCTGTCATTTGATGTTCGGAAGTGTTTTCGAATGAAAGCTAATTAATGTGAAGAATAATTTTGATGTAGACCTTTCTGGAATCAACGTNCACAAAATTTTTCATTTAACGCTTAGTTAAGGTCTTTGAGGAGGAAATGTGGCGGTTTTAATGGAGGAAGTCATGGCGAGATATTATTAAGGAATGAGAACTGTCGCCGTAATTATGCTCGTCTGTCATTTGATGTTCGGAAGTGTTTTCGAATGAAAGCTAATTAATGTGAAGAATAATTTTGATGTAGACCTTTCTGGAATCAACGTAATTTTTTTCTTCTTTTGATACCCTCCACCCACTGACTCGAAGCGTACCTTTATCGTAGTCGTAATTTCTGTCTTTGTCCAATTTTAGAAACTTAGACAATGTTCTTTCTTAGTTTATTTTCGACTTTTTTTTTCGTACCTTGAAAATTTAAGTAGCCGAATTTGATAGCAATCTCAATGTAAAAAAAAACGATAATGATGGCTTAAAAACTGACGGAATAAAGTTGAAAATATCGCAAATACAAATTATTTTCGAACTGCACGCATTGTACTTAATTGAAATCCCAAAAGCTGTCATTTTTTTTAATATTCGATAGATAGTAAAATAGAGTACAGAGTCCAAGTACTAAATAGCTACCGGAGCCCACAAGCATCAAAAAGATATAAGGTAGAAATCTCGTAAGTTTGCGTATAGATCCAGGACTTTGTTTTATTTTGGGGAAGAGGATCGCGACTACCGGACCAGATTTTTACATACGAAGAATCTCCAACATCTAAGTCTGCAACTAATATCGAATACACAGAAAACAAATAAGTGTTTCAGTAATAATTGCACATCCCTAATTCATGAAAGAACAATTTCATGAAAACAAAAAACATAACAGTTCTATTCGAAAAGTTTACTCTCACAATGACTTCTTCAAGTCTGAGGGTTCTTAAACCTCGTAATATTTTAATCACAATGGCTGGAAGGCAGACTACAAGAAATTTGAAAATGTAGCCATAACAAGGGCCACTTTTCGTTTTATCGAGTCGAACAATTAGTTACGTGATAAATGGTTAGTAATATAAGGTATTGTTCTATCACACAGATTAGTACAACCGTCCAGCCTATTTCTGCCGAAATCCAAACATTATTTTACGGATAATTAAAACCAACCTGCCTATTTCAATCGCGAAGCAGTCATGCGACTCAATCCAACGCTCCCTAATTACCCTTCAAACCCGCAAACAAGCGTGCTTCGCCGTAGTTATGCGGGATGTTAATACCTACCCTACCTACCTACTATGCGGGATGGAGGTAATATGCTCTGCGTCGACCCTGTCCTGCCGTCTCAGTAGCCCTGACTGGGCTCCGGCACGGTCTGCGGTAGGGCGCCGGCTGTGAGCGGCAGGAGTTTTTGTTGAGGTTCAACTTCCACATACCCCACCTGTAATGAAGGGATCCGGTGATTTTCTCCTGTAAGAAAACCTTTTTTTTATTGCCAAGCAGCTCACCTGATGGTGAGTGGTTACCGTCGCTCATGGACGTCAACAATGCCAGGGGCAGAGCCAAGGCGCTGCCTACCGTTTAATACTCTACACAAGCTCGTTTGAAGAAATATATAATTTGTAGTGGAAATATTTCATAAACACTTTCCGGACCTACAAACAGCAAATTCATCTTTGATTTAAAGTAATTCACCTGACGTCTAAAACGTATTGACATTTATCCGCGGTAGCGTCATATTGCTTGTACAATATACCTTGTACAGACTCTTGTAGTCTGCGCTTAAACGTTAAGAAGAAAAAAAAAACGGAAACTCTCCAGCAACTAATAAAATTCTTAAAACGAAACTTGTGTACTTCACCGCTACGAGCTTTTAAAATTAAACATCAGACAATGTTTAATCTAAGAAGCACTTAAGCATTAATTTTCGTCTGACGTTTATCAGGTTCGCTTTTTATAGAGACGGGGCGAGGAGCTCACTTACTATCTAGTTTTAGGCGTTTACTGCAACCCATAAAACGATACCTCTCATCTTGAAACGCAAGTTGGAAATGTCAATTATATTGTGTTACTCATCTCTCACTCTTACACAAACAAAGAATTTGTGCAAATCTAAAGTGTAAATATTTTTGAAAATGAAAAAATCTTAGTAGAAATAGTTGTCCATATATATGGGTTCTCACGAACAGAGCCATAAATTCAGATCTATATATTTTTTTCAAAGATCTCTTATTCAGGTTGGCCCAGTATTTTTGATTATCAGCCCTAAGGGCATTTAAATCAATTGCTTAAAGAAATCTTACCCTAGAAACGTCGCACACATAACAACTCCAACAGTTTTAAGTGTGTATTTTTATATCTTAAAATAGCTAACATCTGACATTTCGTCTCTATGTCTAGAGCTGAGTGTGTGACACAGATACTAGTCTTGGGGTGTACGCAACTCTGGTTGGCCATGACTGCCTCTCGCTACCGGACGAGTTGATCGATTTCGCAACACGTGCTTGGCCCATGGATCTAATATAGTTCTAGTACATATAACGTGTTTATTACGTAATATAGTATAGAAAACTTACAGAGACCACACATACTTCTTAACGACAAATGCCTATGCTTATTGAGGCCTATTTACAACAAAAAAAACTATTCACAAAACACAGCTGGTTCTTTTCACAACTGTGGCTCACTGACAAACTTAAACTGTGACTTAAGAATTACAATAAACCTTAAAAAGGGAGTGAAGCGGTTTTTTCTACAGTATTCATGCTGTAAACACACATCTGCTGGTGGTAGGAGCTCTTATGAGTCCGCAGGGGTAGGTACCACCACCCCGCCTATTTCTGCCGTGAAGCAGTAGTGCGTTTCGGTTTGAAGGGTGGAGCAGCCGTTGTAACTGTACTTGAGACCTTAAAACTTATATCTCAAGGTGGGTGGCGCATTTACGTTATAAATGTCTATGGGCTCCTGTAACTACTTAATACCAGGTGGGTTGTGAGCTCATCCACCCATCTAAGCAATAAAAAAAAAACTGCGATATAGACGTGGAAAATGAGACCTCCATACATTACAGGCAGTTAAGCAAGCGGCCCACCTGGTTACCAAGTAGTTACAATCGGCTATTGACATCTGCAATGTCAGCAGCACTACCAAGCCGCTGCTTAACGACAAATGTCCTTAACAACGACTGAGAATTGAATCTGGAAGCCGTGGTACCGTAATCAAAGCCATTCACCACCTACCAAAAGAGCAGACTGAGTTAATTTACTTTACTGAATTTCTTTTCAGAGATACGAACCCTACGGCCTCCAGTTCGAAAAGGCTTTAATCAGAAAGCCCCTAAGAGAGCACGAGAAGCCACAGGACCTGCGCAACGTTCCCGGAACCCCTGGCGTGGACTACCCCATCTACCACTCCGTTCCGGAGACTCGATTCTCGTGTGAGCACGTGCCGATACACCCTGGAATGTACGCTAACGTTGAAACTGGATGTCAGGTGAGATCCATTTTAAATTACAAACAACCTTTTTTTTATTGTTTAGATGGGTGGACGAACTCATAGCCCAACTGGTGTTAAGTGGTTACTGGAACCCATAGACATCTACAACGTAAATGCGCCACCCACCTTGAAATATAAGTTCTAAGGTCTCACTATAGTTACAACGGCTGCCCCGCCCTTCAAACCGAAACGCATTACCGCTTCACAGTAGAAATAGGCGGGGCGGTGGTACCTACCCGTGCGGACTCACAAGAGGTCCTACCACCAGTAATTACGCAAATTATTATTTTGCGGGTTTGATTTTTATTACACGATGTTATTCCTTCACCGTGGAAGTCAGTCGTGAACATTTGTTAAGTACGTATTTGATTTAAAAAATTGGTACCCGCCTGCGGGAGTCAAACATCGCTGCATCGCTAGATACGAATGCACCATAATCCTGATAGGTACCATTACAGACAGGTACCATAATCCTGTCCATTTCTGCCGCGAAACAGTCAGGCGTTTCTGTCTAAAGGATGGAACAGCCCTCGTATGATGCAGTGGAAACTTCAACCTCAGGTTCCAAAGGGCGCTGTGATGTAGCTTCCACTTCAGCTGACTCGTGAGTCTGAGCATCAGCGCTAAAGGTTTTTTTTTAATTACGGCTATAGGGAGACGAGGATACGCCCCAACTGATCATACGTAATCATCATCGCTCATTACGAATACAGAAATACCTTTTAATTATACCTACAGATTTATAATTTGTCTTATATAACCAAGAATGTTACTAGTGACTGTTAGTTAGTTGTCTACATATCTGCTTAAGTATTCACTAGTCAAAATATTTACTTTGTAAACGTCTATATAAAGGCTGGCATTCACTCAGTAATATTGCGCAATAACCACCCAATATGGCACAACAAGTTTCGTATGAACTTCTAGATAACTTGTTTATATACCTCGTGTATATCTTTTTCAATTTAAAAGTCTTCGATATTCGAGTTAATGTTCTTATTTTAAACTAAATTTTAGTCTGCTCGATTGTGATAAGCACTCGTACATTTAATGTCTCTTGACCCCGAGAAGGTCAAAACGTTATAAACTTATTTAATGAGATAGTAAAATAAAAAAGTAACAAAAAGAAAGCGTAAAATTAAAACCTTTTTTACGGTTTATTAAAACCTCTTTTACGGTTTAATCTCTCGTTTTTTATTGTCATTGTATTATTTCGAACGTTTCAAATACTTTATCGGCCCTTGAATATTGTGCTGCCAACTACCGTCTATTTTTCTATAAAAATCATATCTAGACTTTTACAAGTCATTTGACACAAAATGAACTAATAGCACTAACTTGAAGTCTGGCAGACGAAAACTGTTTCTTCTACTGAATTTGAAACGTGAGTAATAATATAATGATAACAAAAAATGCGAGATCAAACCGTAAAATTTGTTTCAATTATTCGTAAATTTGTTTAATCGAAGAAAATACTTAAAAGAATTAACATATAGTTGATGTGTTTCTCACAGATAATTAGGTCTTTCAATTAGTTAATTAATTCACTTAGGCATTTCCTCCGAGATACTAACGCCAATGTAGTGACAGCTGTCAAACATTTTTTTAATGACCGACCGCCGCATAGACCTATATAGTAGGGACACGACATATTGTTCTATACGTACAATTGCTTATATAAATAGCACCCATTTTGAAGGCACACACATAAACATATATCTATCTCGTTCTTACTCAGCACTTTAACTCGCAAGAAAACAATATAACAGTATTTCAGTGCGTACATAAAATGAAACATTTACGTATAGTAAATGTCTCCGTCTCCGTCTAATGAGGCCGAAAATCCGCCATGATTAGCGCGCCAAATGTCATTGTCACGTCAGTTCGGCCGTTTGTTTTGGGTTGTACATTATTTATATACTTTGATATCGATTTAATATGATTGCTTATATAAAATTTCTAATTTTATCATACTTAAAACATACAAAAATAATAATTAAAACATATTTTATAGGATCTCAAGAAAGTTGATGCCCCAAAACTATTACCTATATATATTTAAATTCATTATGGAGCCCTCATCCGAAACATAGATTATACACTTAATATATTTGAATCCGAAATATCGGACACCATTTTTCGGTCGGAATCTATTGATCATGACACTAATCATAAATACCTCTTTAAAATATGTCATCAAAACATATTTAGACATTCTGTTTAGATATTTCCGGAAAAAGGCTACCGACAAAATCTCTTCGGAACTATTTAAATAAAATAGTTTTATTCCGCAGTGAGTAAAACACTATTGTAAATTCGTAAAATATTTAATACTTAAGTGATTTTAGAGAGGAAGTCATAAGGAATGACGTTTGTAATTTTATTAACGAATAAATGTTCTTTAGGTGTTTTTTTATTATCACGCAGTCCCTTGATAAGCTTAAAATTTGAATCACTCTCAAGTGAAAGTGATTCAAATGATGCGGCGCACCTTCCTTGGGGTGCGCTGCGGTAGTGTGTTACGGACTTTAGAGTAAGCAAAACAATTAAAATAGATTGTTATAGTCTAAGAAAAACACGTACTCAAAATACGATAACATTTAGCATGCTAGTAATGGGCTGATGGCTTTGAACTACGCCATATCTTTATGTTTTGCGACAAACGACAACTTTATAAAATCAGTGTAGCAACTTTTAAAAATCATCATATCGTTTACTTGGCAAATTCGAAGGACNGAAAGGGAAGGAATAACACTGGCTCTCCAACCCACACGCCGGAACACAGCTAGGCTATTTGGCGGCGGACTCTAGTTGGAGGGTGGTCGCCAGCCAGTCGGACAAGTCCTACCACCGATTATGTTTCGGCTCCCGTTTTGCACCACCCAGGGGTCACTTGTAGGGAATCGCGGGTAAAACCTACGGAAGCGGGAAGCAATCGACCCCCATTTCTGCCGTGAAGCAGTAATGCGTTTCGGTTTGAAGGGTGGAGCATCCGTTGTAACTATACTTGAGACTTTAGAACTTATATCTCAAGGTGGGTGGCGCATTTACGCTATAGATGTCTATGGGCTCCAGTAACCACCTAATACCAGGTGGGCTGTAAGCTCGTCCATCCATCTAAGTCCACCCATCTAAGCAATAAAAAATAAATTAAAAAAAAACTGCGATATAGACGTGGAAAATAAGACCTTCATACGTTATAGGCAGTTGAGCAAGCGGCCCACCTGGTTACCAAGTAGTTACAGTCGGCTATTCACATCTGCAATGTCAGCAGCACTACCAAGCCGCTGCTTAACGACAAATGTCCTTAACAACGACTGAGAATCGAATCTGGAAGCCGTGGTACCGTAATCAAAGCCATTCACCACCTACCAAAAGAGCAAACTGAGTTAATTTACTTTACTGACTTTCTTTTCAGAGATACGAACCCTACGGCCTCCAATTCGAACAGGCTTTAATCAGGAAACCCCTAAGAGAGCACGAGAAGCCACAGGACCTGCGCAACGTTCCCGGAACCCCTGGCGTGGACTACCCCATCTACCACTCCGTTCCGGAGACTCGATTCTCGTGTGAGCACGTGCCGATACACCCTGGAATGTACGCTAACGTTGAAACTGGATGTCAGGTGAGATCCATTTTAAATTACAAATAAACTTTTTTTTTATTGCTTAGATGGGTGAACGAGCTAATAGCCTACCTGGTTTTAGGTGGAACCCATAGACATCTACAACGTAAATGCGCCACCCACCTTGAAATATAAGTTCTAAGGTCTCAGTATAGTTACAACGGCTGCCCCACCCTTCAAACCGAAACGCATTACCGCTTCACGGTAGAAATAGGCAGGGCGGTGGTACCTACCCGTGCGGACTCACAAGAGGTCCTATCACCAGTAATTACGCAAATTATTATTTTGCGGGTTTGATTTTTATTACACGATGTTATTCCTTCACCGTGGAAGTCAATCGTGAACATTTGTTAAGTACGTATTTCATTAAAAAAATTGGTACCCGCCTGCGGGATTCGAACACCGCTGCATCGCTAGATACGAATGCACCATAATTCTGATAGGTACCATTACAGACAGGTACCATAATCCTGTCCATTTCTGCCGCGAAACAGTCAGGCGTTTCTGTCTAAAGGATGGAACAGCCCTCGTATGATGCAGTGGAAACTTCAACCTCAGGTTCCAAAGGGCGCTGTGATGTAGCTTCCACTTCAACTGACTCGTGAGTCTGAGCATCAGCGATAAAGGTTTTTTTTATTACGTCTATAGGGAGACGAGGATACGCCCCAACTGATCATACGTAATCATCATCGCTCATTACGAATACAGAGATACCTTTTAATTATACCTACAGATTTATAATTTGTCTTGTATAACCAAGAATGTTACTAGTGACTGTTAGTTAGTTGTCTATATATCTGCTTAAGTATTCACTAGTCAAAATATTTACTTTGTAAACGTCTATATAAAGGCTGGCATTCACTCAGTAATATTGCGCAATAACCACCCAATATGGCACAACAAGTTTCGTTTGAACTTCTAGATAACTTGTTTATATGCCTTGTGTATATTTTTTTCAATTTAAAAGACTTTAATGTTCTTATTTTAAACCAAAATTTTGGTCTGCTCGATTATGATAAGCACTCGTTCATTTAATGTCTCCTGACCCCGAGAAGGTCAAAACGTTATAAACTTATTTAATGAGATAGTAAAATAAAAAAGTAACAAAAAGAAAGCGTAAAATTAAAACCTCTTTTACGGTTTATTAAAACCTCTTTTACGGTTTAATCTCTCGTTTTTTATTGTCATTGTATTATTTCGAACGTTTCAAATACTTTATCGGCCCTTGAATACTGTGCTGCCAACTACCGTCTATTTTTCTATTAAAATCATATCTAGATTTTTACATTTCATTTGACCCAGATTTTTTTATTTATTTCCTAGATGTGTGGACGAGCTCACAGCCCACCTGGTGTTAAGTGGTTACTGGAGCCCATAGACATCTACAACGTAAATGCGCCACACACCTTGAGATATAGTTCTAAGGTCTCAGTATAGTCACAACGGCTGCCCCACCCTTCAAACCGAAACGTATTACTGCTTCACGGCAGAAATAGGCGGTGCGGTGGTACCTACCCGTGCGGACTCACAAGAGGTCCTAACTCCATTACTCTCTCTCTCTCTTTCCACATCCTACATGATAGTGAGGTCAGATTTTCTTATTTTTGTCTTCTACTTCGCTCTCTCTTCGATATCATCGTCAATAATATTCCCTCTTGTCCTTTGCCACTACACTTTTTCACCCCGTCTTGGATCTTCGTCTAGGTCTTCAACTAGGGAGGTAGAGCTGCAACCCCAAAAATTTTTGATTAAACTCAAAAAGATTTTTTTAAAATGATAACAATTTAATAAGAGACGTAATACAAAATACTTAAATACAAAAACTAACATATCGTCGTTGTCAAACCAAAATCTGATATGTGCAGTTTTTGAGATTTTTACTTTTTGACCTTTTCGGATAGTTCACAGCCCTATCTACTGTATAAAAAAAACCGTTGTGTGTCTATAGCTTTAAATTTATCTATAGCTTTCATTTGATATAGTTCTTAAAAATTTACCTTCAAATAAAATTTTATACGAAAATTGTTTTTACTCGTTAATTCAACATAAAGTTTTTGCCCATAGCAGATTTTGGTTTGACAGCGATGATATCCTATTTTTATGTACTCTAATGGAGTGTACGCCACCGCTACTAATGAAACCTGTATAGAACGGATGACGTGCAGCTGAATGATGGTAATTGCTCTTACAGGCCTACCACGTGTGCCACGACGGTCGCGAGGGTCACCAGGGCGCCTCGTTCCTCTGCACCAACGGAACTCTGTTCGACCAGGCCAAGTTCGCCTGCGACTGGTGGTACAACGTGGATTGCTCACAGGCCATTGAACATTACAAGTAAGTTATATTCGTGTGCAGTATTTTTTTTTAAATAAAGCTTCATATGACAATAATTTTTCAGGTTAATTTAAGAGTCATTTTTAGCATACATGGGTCATTGTAAACGTGTACAGGTACTAAGTTAATGTCGCCATCTTGTGTGCTGGTCGGAAGTCGTAATGATGTTGTAATATAGACTAGAATCCTTTACGATGACAAGATACTCAGATTGGGCTTACGATACGCTCTACTACCTTCATTTTAGGGAAACTAGAGGCGGAACAATTTGGAAAGAACGAGATGGTCGGGCCGAAAGTTACTTCTCGGGAAAATTGCTTCTAAAACTACAAGTGATGAGTTTAGTAAGCGTCTAACAGTTTGAAGTCATCGTGGACTAAAGAAGGATAAGGCTCTCGTTGTAATCGTATCGAGCAATACGACGGTGCCAGTGTTCAAAACCTGTAGGCAGATACAATTTTTTCTAAGGAAATACGAACTTGACACGTTCGCTTAAACAACTTTTACAATTTGTAAATTTCATAAGGCTGTGTAAAAACCGGTAGTAGAGTATATTGAACCTGCACGAGTAAGTACCACCATCTTGCCTATATCTGCAGCGAATCCGTTGAAGACTCCTCTTTGAGTAATTGGCCAGACGTTAATACCATTAGATTTCGACCTGTTTCAAGGAAAGTGACTGCATTTATATTGTGACAACTATGGTCTTCCGTAACCACTTTGCACCGAGTCTACAGTGAGCTCGTTTACCTATCTATGCAATAAAATATAGATGCTTATCGTATCTTTTTTCTCTAACATTTATATAATTATAGCTATGTTGCTTGAATATAATTTAACTCAAGACTGACGTAATTAATCGAATGTTAAATAAGTGTAATAAATAAATAGTGTATGAACCTTCGAGCTGAATTTCACCTATACCTTTTCAGACTGAACGCTGATCCATTGAAAAACCCTTACGTGCCGAAACAGAAACCGGAAATCCACCAGGAACAACCGGAAGAGTACAATATCCCTGAAGAGGCATACTTCAGGAAATACTAAAGTAGCATTGTGATTTAACCGTGTTTATGTTTCAGTTAGTTGCACACATCACAGATATTTAAATCTAAATTAGAAGCATTTTTATGAACACTGATTCTATAAAAATATAATCTAGATAGGATATTTATCTTTCACTTTTAAGGCACCAACGTCAAAACCCTGATTAGCTTTCCGTAAAAGATATCCGGAATTGAGATCCTCAAGTTCTAGTTTTTTTTTAGGAACAGAAACAAATATATTATATGCTGTCTCTTTCATTTAGCGAGAAATGCTTACTTAAAAACGGAATTCCTGACTGGAAAAAATAAATAGGGAAAACGTGACGTGTGTGCCGTATCCAGAATATGTTAGAAAATATCATGTAATGAAAAATCAAATCGGCCGAAGTATACAAGAACTCAAAACAAATACATAATAAATTCTACGAAAGCTGTAATGTAAGCTGCGAGTTACGATGTTACATTACAAAATTAATTTATTCGTATAATAAATTTGTGTGAAACTTAAAGATATATTGTTTTACTCAATTATTATTTTAAAAGAATATTTTTTTAAACAATTAGTACAAGCGCATGTCGACACATCATAGTGGTGATGTCTAATTTCGAAGAAATACTTTATTTCAAACTAGCGGACCCGGCGAACTTAGTTCCGCCACACGGTTTGTTTCACACACATCAACCGGTTAACTTCAAAATTCTACTATAATATAATTAACCATAGAACGTTTAGCTGTCAGTTGCGTTTTGTTATTCCATATCAGTTGCGTTTTGTCATACCACGTTTTATGTCACGTCCCATGGGAATGTGATAAAAAGTATCCTATGTCCTTCTCCTGGTTCTAAGCTACCTCTTCAGCAATTTTCAGCCAAATCAGTTCAGCCGTTCTTGAGTTATAAATAGTGTAACTAACACGACTTTCTTTTATATATATAGGTATAGATGTCAATCAGCGTGCTTTGTACTCGTAATACATATTATCTTAAGATTATAAGTTTTTTGAAGTGAAAACTTCTTTAGAATCGTTGTGATTTCAAACCGGATGCAACGGAAAAAACGACAGGTAAGAGACACAAATACAAAGAATGAGACAGAAATATACATACTATTTAATACAGCGCCATCTGTGAGATTTTTTAATACTAACGTGTGTATGAAAGCTCTTGTAGTGAATTTTAATTTAGGATTATACGTGAAATTAAAATATCAATTCACACACCTTACAATTATTTACTAATGACAACATTTTACATATACTTAAGACGTTTAGGATAATTGTATTTTAATTTTGGAAGGTTTCACTTCTAGCACGTGTGAATTGCACACATTTTGTTTTTTTAGCTTTTAATTCCTACCCATAAAACGTACCTACCCATAACGTACACACTCGAATAAAAAATGATACTTGTGCCTTCAGAAGGGCACATCTCCCTAAATTTTACTCTAAAGTCAAATGGTATGAGACAGATTAGCGCAACCTCGCGCAGCGAACCTCTAGAAGTGCAATTAGATTTCAGGCGCTATGGACGACCTGCTGTAGTGATAGGTTAGATGGGTGGGTGGTAAAGGTGATGGGTCAAATTCCTCAGAGCACTTTTAGTGATTAAACAAGACAAAGGCAAAAACAAGGCAAAGGAAGCTGTATAGGCCCAGTGGCTCTAAATGAACCGTGTCGAACCGATTTTTTTATCAGGCCACTGTCATCCGCTGCTGGACATGGGTCTCCCCCAAGGTTTTTACTGGTGGTAGGACCTCTTGTGATTACTGGTCGTAGGACCTCTTGTGAGTCCGCACGGGTAGTTACCACTGCCCTGCCTATTCCTGCCGTGAAGCAGTAATGCGTTTCGCTTTGAAGGGTGGGGCAGCCGTTGTAACTATACTGAGACCTTACAACTTATATATCTCAAGGTGGGTGGCGCATTTACGTTGTAGATGTCTATGGGCTCCAGTAACCACTTAACACGAGGTGGGCTGAGAGCTCGTCCATCCATCTAAGCAATAAAAAAAACCTTGAAAAAAAAAGTTCGCCACGATAACCACCATAGCATGTCGTGAGTGTACCGCGTGGGAGACCTACCCACACTGCGCTCTACCTAACCGAATTATATGGTTTATAAACAAAGAAAATAGTATTACAAAATCAAACCGAAGTGAAATTTACTTTTTTACCCTGGTTATTATCATATATATTAGGATATTGTAGCATAAAGCCATTATAGCATAGTATAAAGTATACAGCCAAGTTATAAAATAATTATTAAACTGTCGTCAGTAATAGATAAGTGTACAAAATTTTAATGCTAAACAGGCATCGACATACTTACAGATCAAGCTAAAACGTGTAAAGTGTATAAAAAACAAAAAGTTTTACAACATACTTTTATTTTTTACTACTATTTTATACTCTCTAGTAACCTTGTTGGTTAAAAATGTTAATTTGTACAAATAAGCCGCTGCACATATTATAAAATCGATTTCCACAGTGAAAACTTCAACATCATACTCAAAATAAACGGATTCCTACATTTCCTATTTACCGACACGAGGAAATTAATGCACGCAGGAAAATACATAGAGCATTTTCGTGTTACGTTTTGTCCGTGATGTTGTCAATGGCATTGCCGCGTCGATAATTGACACCGAAACAATACTGGCTGATAACTGGCGGCGAATAAAATAAAAATACAGTACATACAGCAATTGGTCGCGGAATGACGATGGCGACGGAACGTGATTGTTGTTTTACGCGTTTCGCTTTTGTTTTATTCTTATTATTAATATTTATCTCGATTAGAAGTTTTTAGTTGAAATATATAAATCTAGAAAAAATTGTCATGCAGAATTAACTTAGAGGCTCTCGAATAATACTTTTGAGAGTACGGCAAGTATCATATACCAATAGAATCCAAAGCAAATTTTATAATCAAGACATTTCGTATAATTTTTTATTGCTTAGTGGGTAAGCGAACTAATCGTCCACCTGGTCTTGAATTGTTTAAAACAATGATAGCACAACGTGAATGCCTCCACCCACTCTCCCACCCTTTAACAGGAAAGCAAATCTGCTTCACTGCAGAAATATACAGGTACAGGATAATGATACTCACCTGTGTGATACGATAATACAGCTTATCACACTAAGAGCTATGCAACAACGTGTTCACACGAAAGCATTTTGGGCGTATAAGCCTAAGGAATAAAAATAAACAGACAAATAACGATAACTGGTAAAAACTCTCAGTGAGATGTGTCTATGGGTACTACTCACGAGTCCGTTCACATCAATGAATGAATGAAATGCGTTTATTTCAGGCAACTTAAGCCCATAAAATTTCACATACAATTACATAGCATCTAAATCAAAATACAATAAAATTAAAATTACAATTTATCATAATGACTAAAAACAAAAACAAACAAAAATGAAACCAAATCAAATGAAACCGAATCAATAATGTCAACTCCTAATATAAAATTAAAATTAATAAAGGAACGAATACAATAAATAATGAAATAATGTTAACTTAATAATATAACTAATTTAAAAAATTACGCTGCCGAATTCTCAAATTTCAAGACGATCATAAAACAAAATTTTGAGAACTGTAACAAATGCATTTAAATTATTTGAATATAAATAAACGCGTACAACAAACGTCGTCTTTACGGAGCATTCGAGGGAACTTTTCATTAAAATTTGCTTGTTCCACCGAACAATTACAGGCCCGGTGAACAGGCGCGGTCGAAATAATATAAATAAAATGTAATTTATTAACACAGAAAAGTGTTTGCGGCCGTCGGCGTGTCCGTAATAAGCTCACCGTTTTGTTAATGTTTATTGCGATTTTGTAACAATGTAAACAGTTTGAGAATATTACGTAATCTTTATGATTTCTGTAAAGATACTACATATTTTTTTTTGTAAAAACGTAGCATGTAGTATTATGAGCTACTCGGGACTTCGATCTTATTCCATGTCTCATGTAGAATCTCATCATATCTCATCTTACCACTTCGATAAAGCAACACGACAGGAAAACCCTCTCATCGTGGCCGCCGGTAACTATATTCCCGATCCTGCGGATAGAATGGAAAGCAGTCGACGTCGTCCAAAACACGTCATTTCAGATCCTCCCGATCCACTAACGGTGCTTTTAGGTACCTCAAGTACCGATCATCATTCTCGTCGAACCTGTCGCTTGCGACGAAGGGCTCGACGAGTAAATTAACCCACAGACACAGCCCACTGAGTTTCTCACCGGATATTCTCAGTGGGTCGCGTTTCCGATCCGGTGGTAGATTTTGCGAAGCACGCTCTTGTTAGGGTTCGTGTTAGCAACGTCGTCAGGTTTGAGCCCAGTGAGCTATTAAGCTCTTAATTTATTAATTAATTATTAAATTAGATATTTTAAATTTACAGGTCTTCTCTTAAGATCAAATATTCTTTCCCTGTATTCAATTAATCTCACATAGATCCATAGCTTAAACTAGAATAACCCACAATGACATTAGAATAAATTCTAACTCCCAAGTAGCTCACAATTAACACAGTTAAAGTTTTAAATTTTTGGTAATTTAAATAAAACGTCATTATAACTGAATAAAAAAGCTATGAGCCTGTGGTCTACTTTTGAAACAAACTAATGAAACTGAATGAATGAATGAATGAATGAGATGAATTAATGAAACAACTTTGAAACAAAATCAGTAGCAATGTTTTCTGCCCTACCTAATTTTCTGCCTTCGTTTACCATTTACTCTAGAAAGACCCGCATCGAGTCCTCCGCACTCCCTTTAAGATGGTACCTACGAATGTTGTTTATATGTACACAAACAGCCTTCTGAAAACATTACAAACAACATCCACGTACAAAGTCCAGGAAACGTACTCGAAGTGCTTAAATGAACAAATATAATTCGAGAGCAAAATGTAATATTTAGAAAGTTCTTTGATCCACAAAGGGCCGTGCGAGCACGCAACGACGCCACGGTCCGAGCTAGGGTTGTCAGCGGCGCGTAAATATTGTTCGACAAATTTTATTTTTAGTACCTGAATTTTGTTGAATTCTTATTGAATAATGTCTAGAACACAATTTTAACAAAAAAAAAAAATGTACTGCGGTTTTTTATCGTTCTGCGATTCAAAACGGAGATGTTACACACAATATCGTTTCGTACTCCCTAGTATCCAGTGTCTACTAATAATCACTCTATACTACTCGAATATTCTCAAGTCGTATTTTGTCATAATTCTTCATTTTACTCAATCGTATCGCTTCGTGCTCCTGAAAGCAACTTCGCAACTGTCCTTATTTTTAATTATACTATACTACTATAACTTATATTATACATACCGCTAGCCACGGTTTGGGCACGCAGTCAAAAACGCAGTACGTTCGACTTATGACATTATTTTGCTTCTTATTTGATACGCAAACGGTGATATTAGCT